AAGATTGGTTTTATTGTGGTTTAATGGGAAAACGAGAACAGCGTGAGTGTTTTAAATGAAAAGAAAGTCGTTGGCGCCGTGAACTTAAAAGAAGGGACAATTAACGGTTGACATATCGACTGGTTCAAACAACGATCGAGTGGCCATTTAAAGCTAGGATTTTTAGAAGTTTGTGGTGAGTACAAATTGCCATATTCGTTACGTGATCAAAATCTTATCAAAGAATAGAAATAACGGCTTGAATTAAGCTTACCTAACGCTCAGCGCAACTGAAACTCAAATAATTCTGAGAATCGAATTGGTCGCTTGCATGCTGCAGTTTCCTAAGCTTACACTTTACAATGAAATAAATCTATGAGTAAGGTTTCGAGATTACTTTAGTCACATTTGGGAACATTCTGACCTTGCTTTGCTTTGAAAAATTCGACTGAAGAGAGAGCAGACTTTCAATCATTACCTTTGTCAAAATTTTGATAACATGAATTATTGAGGTTTTGTCTTTCTTTTATTCTTTGATACACAACAGCCAATTTTTTTAAAGGTTGAGCCTTATTACACTGTAGATGGTCTGCTTAAATGATGAAGAAAAAGTAATTTATATGCTGAGTTGTGCTGTTATTCTTTAGGAATGTTCGGTTAAGAAATTTGTTAATGAAACAAGTCAAACACACGCTGGTTCATTGCAAATAAATTATGAGATCTTTATCACTTATAGTCTGTGTATTCATGTACTGTTTGAATCATTTATGATCAACAGTTTGGTAAGACAATGGGACTCCATTGGAGGTGTCAGTATGTTCTATAGCTAGTTGGAAAGTTTTGGACCCTCAGTGGATTGATGGGGTCTATAGCTCACCTAGAAAATTTTATCCTCTTAATTTTAAGATATCCTATCTGGTACATTTCATAAATCTGTGGTCTTCAGTGATAAACAGGATCCCTCAAAGGATTTTTCTGAAAGTGGGAAGCCATCTGTAATTTTATGCAGGGTCTAAACTGGGAATGGCAGGATCCCAGATGCAATCCCGCCTATGATATGATTTCCCAGGTGGGAAACTATCTGAAATTTGAGGCAGGATCCCAAGAGGGATTGGTGGGATTCTAGGTTTAATCCTGCCCGGAATGTGCTTTCCCAGGTGGGATGCTATTAGGAATTTAAGGCGGGATCCCATGTGGGATCCCATGCAGGATGTTCCATAATCCCAGGTGGGATCCCATGTGGGATGTTCCATAATCCCAGGTGGGATCCCATGCGGGATGTTCCATAATCCCAGGTGGGATCCCATGCGGGATGTTCCATAATCCCAGGTGGGATCCCATGCGGGATGTTCCATAATCCCAAGTGGGATCCCATGCGGGATGTTCCATAATCCCAGGTGGGATCCCATGCAGGATGTTCCATAATCCCAAGTGGGATCCCATGCGGGATGTTCCATAATCCTAGGTGGGATCCCATGCGGGATGTTCCATAATCCCACCCGGGATCCCACCTGAAAAAGGCGGGATCCCACCTGGGACACACCTGGGATCCCAGGTGGGATTGGCGGGATCCCACCTTATATTTTTACCTGGGTTACTCCTATAATTATAAATTAGCCTTCTCAAGTAGCCCTTAACCCTTTAAATCCTGAGATCTAATTGCTAATTCTCCCCTCTAACTGCTAGTGGTCAGGCACAGTGACCTCATGGTTAGTGCGCTTGACTCCGGATCGAGTGGTCCGGTTTTGAGCCCTGGCTGGGGTCATTGTGTTGTGTTCATAGGCAAGACACTTTACTCTCACAGTGCTTCACCTGTTACAAATAATGGTGAGAAAGTGGAAAAAGACTAAATTATCAGAAATTAATTGAATGATATGTCGTGGACGATAAGTTAACTCCTGCCAGTCTCTCATGTACAATATGATTGTTAGATGTAGTGGGCCATACTCTACTGCAATAGGCCTACTAAGACCAAAAGCTGTTTATGGAGTCAGATTTTATCATTAGATATTGCCATTTTCGTAACTTGGACTCTATAAGTTTTCTTATATTAGACTGAACAACGAATTCAATTTGAATCTTTTTTATTACGGTTTGTATCAGCCGTTTGACGCCGTTTGACGCCGTTTCCTGAACCAGTCAGACGCGCATTATAGACGCAATAAATATCTTACCATATCATTTCTCTCTGTGCTGTAATTAGTCTCGGTTCTCGTTTTTTTACCGTTTCAATTTGAGGCCCTTGGGCGACGTTTCGGTGGGGAATAAACTTCATCCATAGCTCAGAGGAGTCAGTGAAAAATATATGCTTCATTCACCCTTACATGCCATTGTCTTACTAGGCACCATTTTGATCGACTCATTTCATAAGCACGTTACGCTTGGAAGTGCGGGATTGGAAGACTATACAAAACTATCAGAATGACCTAAAAAGAGAATAATTTTTCAACTCTCCTCACCCTCTATCCATTATTATGATCTATTTTTTACGTTTTATGAGGCCGAAATCTATTTTTGTTCTTTGTTTAACCTAGGCTCCTCTCTGAGATCAATGGAAACACATCCAGCATCCTTGCCAGCGCCCTTGCCAGCACCCTTGCCAGCATCCGTAGGACAGCAAACGGAGCCCACTCAAGTCCCTTCATCTACCCGATTCCAACTTGATCCAGCTATTGAACCGGAACCTGCGCGATATGTTAACTTTCTATTTTACGAGGGTTACTCGGTGGAAATATTGGGTGGAAAACACTTTAAGACTCGTGATGGAGAGTTTGTGGAAGTGAAGAGTGGAACACAGTATAAAATACTCGTCAAAAATTCACACACTTATGGTGAGGGGCAAATTAAGAGGCATATGTTTTGAAAATGTTCCTGTAGCATAGCCCGTGGTCTGGTTCCATTTCTTACTGAGTAATAAGTAATAATCAATTTCCCGTTTATTGACTCGGGACTGCGCTTTCATTAAATCTCAGGTACCAGTGCTATTGCATTTTATCAGTTCCACTTTTCAATAGATTTCATTTCCTGCAAGTTCCTGTTGCTCTATATTTTCAGACCGTCCACAACGGTCCATAAATTTTCTTGGACTTGTATCAATGTTCACCTCCGAAGTTACACTTATGATATTTCGGATCATTTTGGCAAGATGATGGCAAGGACAAGATGCCATTTTACTTAAAATTGACACTCGCTGATTACTCCGTTGACAGGGAGATAATCCTTGAAGATAGGAAAGTGATACAGCCGGCAGAGAGTGCCATTTGCTTGCCACTAGTTATGCGACCAGATATTCCCGTTCTTTCCGTCGTTTGGCCTGAGTTCAGAAAGACTATAACGTTATTTTTCATTGGTTGTGATCTTTAACAGGTTGTCATTTGGACATATCTATTGATGGTTACGATATTGGTGGATGGGCTCTCCACGGAGGAGAGGAGATGTCAATCGAGAGATCAGCTTATGAGGCCAAGAGGTTCACCTTCTACCGAGTGAAAAGTGCACCAAAAGAAGCAGGCATTGAATCTGGTCGGCCCGAAAATGGTCTTGTGAAGTGCGTGTTCACACCTGAAGCTTTCCTTAACATTCCAGTGATCACCTCTGATTCTTCTCAGCCATTGAATGTGAGCATACCTCCATCGGCGACAGTTGGTGAGTTAAAACATGAGGTGCAGAGCCAAATGGAAGTACGGAATGACCCGGATCAAGTTCTAGCTCTAGATGACAAGGTGCTCCCAAATGCTTCTCTCGTAAAGTAAGTGACCTGTGTAAGCCTTAGACTGGATAGTAGATTCAGACGTATTTTAACTTTTTGTCCAATTTTTTCTTTACTTTGTGACAGTCGTGTTCTTAGGACACCAGGAAATCTGAGACTTATCGATGCAGAAATGACAATTTCAGTGACAGTCGAGGCATCCTCCAAAGTGTCTTATCCAAAAACCTTTCCAATAAAGGTACATCCGGGCAGGTCAAAGGTCCATGACCTCATGCAACAGATAGAGAGACGGCTCAACGTTCCGGTCAGTGACCAAAAGCTTTACTTTGGAAAAACTCTCCTGTCCGGAGCACCAAGGGAGTGCCTCCCTGATAAACTCATCTGCAGTCCACGACCGGCTGTAGCCGTCATCCTCCCGGAGTATATTCACATAACTGTGGAAGAACAGAATGGTGACTCGCATGCCTTGAAGATAGACAAAGAGAAGAACTTGGAGGCTGTCATGGAAGAAATTCCTTCGTGTTGTAACCTGCAAGAAAATACACAGGTCATATTTTATTTCAATGAAAAAAAAATTTTTCCTTTTAAAAATAAAAGGAACTTAGACAACCTGGGTATTTGTTCCGGATCAAGGCTTGAGTTGAAAATGAAGATTCTTTTCATCGACGTTGAAGCTTGTTTCTCAGGTGGTTCTCCACCCGTCCGCGTGAGATGTAGTCCTCAAGATACTTTCCACGATTTGATGGAAAAGATTGGGGTGAAGAATGAGAAGAAAAAATGGAAGTTTACATTTGCAATGGACACAAGAATTTTTGATCCAGATGAAGACAAGAGTCCGTTACAAGGTAAAGACATACTTCTTTAGAACTCATCTATAGTAATATATAGATTTAGCCAAGCCTAAAAGCGGAGCTCGCATTTTTTTTTCTCGCACGTCTCAAGGGCCCAACGCCTTGCCCCGGCCAGGACTAAAACCCGGGTCGTCCGACTCGGAGCCCAGTGCACTGCCCACTGGACTACTGGACAAAGCCGTGGCGTTGGCGTGCCCGTGGTACAGTTGACCACGCATGTTAAAAGTAGCACCTTGTACGGTCGTACATCCAAATTTTTTCGGCTTGATGGGTTACTACTATTTTGTACAATTATGGGGCTACGCTCTGCGAGCTCCGCTATCAACAATTTGTTTAAGGTGCCGTCGCACGGGATGGAAGTATGCTTCTATTTTGATAATTTTATCTTGTGAATTGATGGAGTTAACGATAGAAATGTCTGTCGAATACCTTTTCTTTGTATTAGATTACGGAGTTACGCACGGCTGTACCCTTCACGTGGCGAAACATCTGGCCGCCGATGGTTCCATCATGGCTCACGAAACGTCTAAGTGTAACGGGCAAGAGTTCGAAAGGTTAGCCGCATGCGCGCAAATCGCAAATCGACCTTTGCACAAAGAAACTTTTACTTACGCCCTGTATAAAGGCACCCTCATTTCACGTTAAGCGACATCAAGATCATTTAACTGAGTGCAACTAACTTACGGAGTGGTTATATTAATTCCTAAATATTATGCCTTCGTAGTTTCGAGCGTTAGCCCTTTGTCAGAGCGATAGAAAATCGCTCTGACGAAGAGCTAACGCTCGAAACGTCAGTTTTTTTAGCCTTTAAGGTGGCCAATTTACGTTTTCAACTCAGTTGTTAACACTTAATTACCTGCTATACTCTCCCACCGACGCAGCACCACAGTTTCTTTAGAAACTTCCCCCCTTTATGATTTTTACAAAGTTTATTTTTCTTCTCCATTCGCATGTTAATTATGTAGAGGTGGCCTTTCTGATGTCCCTGGCGATAGAAAAGGTAAGTTATTTAAATATTTTCACAAGGAAAGTCAAAATTTTATGAATGTCTGTTTTTTTTCGTGTGGTGTGCATGATGAACAGACGAAGAACGTATAGCAGAAGTTTTGAAATATTTTTTTTCTGAACTTCAAGGGAAGAAATCATTTTTCCGCAATGTAAAAGAAAAGCTTTTCGGAAAGCGACTTGAAGAGTGCACCAGCGATTTAACTCATGGAGGCGGTAGGTATAAACTGTGTCAATATTTAACGGTACAGACTCACATTTGTTTTGTAGAACTAGAAAAATACTACTTATTACCTTTCGTAATTAAAAGTTCTCGAAAGGATTAGTACCAAGGGACGTATGTTTCTTATGTGTCAACTTTTAAGACAATTGATAACAGAGATAAGAAAAAAAAAAGGGGATAAGTCTCCTTTACAAGGAAAGCCCCGGCCTTGTCCAATCATTAAGGGGAGAAAAACAACGAATTGTCTGAGCATTTATTTTTAATTGTCTAGAATGTAATTGAATGTCAAATTCTGCCTTTTGACATAAGTTGACATCTGGTCACCCGGCAAAGGCGTAAATTGTTGGCTATAACCTTTCAATTTACAAATAGTTTACGTTAGTCATGCTTCAAATAGCGCGTTAACAATTTTTTTTTTGCAAAGGACACCCGCGAAAGTCTGCTGTATACTTATGGCAACTTTTGTAAGTTAATACCTGAAGAATAATTAATTAAATAAGCTTACATTTGTCTTACGTTTCTTTAGACTCACCTCCACTTTTGCGGCTGAGCCTAAATAAATCGAGTTTTAACGTTGGTAAGTTGTATTTAACAAAATATACAGTCTGCAGTGTGTGGCTTTTTTTTTATATTCTTTCGGACTCCATAGTTGAAATTCGCGGTTGCCTAGCCACCCTGGTACTTGCATTCTTTCTTAATATGTCGTCGATGATCTGTTTTTCAGTCTTTAAAAAAGGGAGGTAGCAAGCGATTTACATTTGATAAACCGTTTCCTTCGTAACTCGCGAAGTTTGATTGACCTTTATGTTAGCCTTCATTACATTATGTATATAATAATAAATATGTATATAAAGCCAGTAGCATGGAACCGGATCCAGGGTGGAGATCAGGAGGGACAACATTGCAAGGCCACAGCACACAGGAGGGTAAGTTCTGCAATTATGAGAAAGCCATTTCACTGCTGTGATTGGTTATCAAAATTTTTAAAACAGGTTTTCTGATGAAGAAAACTGAGAGTAAATCTCATGCAGCTCGAAACCGTAACCTGCAGTAATTAAGAGAAGTTCAACGCGTGCAAACGCTAATTTCAAGCTTTTATGAAAGACGCATGAAATGCAGAGCATCATAATATGAGAACAAAACAATTGAAAATGTCGCAATGATGTATCTGCCAAAACGTCCAACATGAAAATTTGGACGTTGAAAATTTCTTATTCTAATTAAAATTGAACAGAGAAAACGAGGTTGATGACTTCATGTGGTTTGTGCTATGCTAAGAATATTGTAAGGGGCAGTTTGCATAAAAACTTCAATTCATTCGACAGTGGTCTGGAAAGGGAATCAACTTCCGCGACATCATGCTTTTTGACTGCGACTTTTTTCCACTCGCGACTTCTTCTTGAGTGCCTTAAGATTGCGGGCTCTCCTAACAAAGCGGTCACCAAATGCGATGCTGGAAGATAATCTGGTAAAACACAATGAGAGTTCAATGGAAAAGAAAACAAAAATCAAGATGGCTGCTAAAAAAAAAAAAAAACCACTGAGTAGTCTTTTTTAAATGGCCACCTAGCAGTCCACCACAAAACACAATAAAAGTTCGCAGATTGAGGATATGGCGCAGGTTTTGAAAAAGTCGCTGATGGAGAGAAGAATTGTGCATGGATAAAAAGAGAAGTAGCAGTCGAAAAAGTAAAGCAGTTAGTTCACCAATCACATTTGCGGAAATTGTAATGTTTATGATTAATAATGGTAATAGGACCGAGTGGAATCCAATTCGGTCAGTATTCTTACGAGTGATTAACAAATCGGACATCTGCGAAGCGGGAGTCCGATTTGTTTATCACGAGTATGATTACAGACACCTATTCTTTTTCCATTAGATATGTTTGACAGTGATACTGAAGATTGTAATGTTTATGATAAATAATGGTCTAGGATGACGTGGAATCCAATTCGGTCAGTATTCTTACGAGTGATTAACAAATCGGATATCTGCGAAGCGGGAGTCCGATTTGTTTATCACGATATGATTACATGACGTATGTAAACACGGTTTTCGTTCCTCTTTCATTAGTTAATCAAGACTAAGAAAAAATTTGATAAGCTGAAACCAGACATCGGTTGCGTTTTCAGGTTTCAACAGCTTAACTCGGCGATATGCGAACAACGGCGCGCGTTTACGTTCTGTCTATGTAAACACGTGTTAACCATTTTACATTTCTTCAATTATACTGTCCAATTACAAGCGTGGCGCGTGATTTGTTTATCATGAGTATGATTACAGACAGAATTAGACGACACGAGGTACTGTTATCAATTAATCAAGACTAAGAAAAAATTCGAGGAAAAAACCAGACATCGGTTGTACGTTTTCATAAAATATCAACAGTTAACTCGGCGAAATGCGAGACAACAGCGCGCGCTCATGACGCGTTCTGTCTACTTACACAGGCATGACGTGTTAACTTTCCTTTTAATTGTCTTATTAAGGGTGTCTAATTACGCGCGCGTACACTGTCTATTACACGCCAAACTGGTGATAACGCGTCATGTATATATAAATGTATATATAAACCCGTTTTCAAAAAAGTTACAATTTACTATTCTTTTTCCACATTAAACTCCATAGCGAAATACATTTGTCAACCTCAAAAATTTTGTTAAGTATTCATATATTCTATTGTTCTTTCTCATGTACTTATTCATTCCGATGAGTTTCACGACATGGCACGATGGCACAAAACTTCTTTATGTAGTAGAATTTTCTTTTGTTAACAGATGCCATAAAATTGCGTTCTCTTTAAATATATTTAATTCTACTGATACAATCGACAGAATTTCCAACTGTCTGAAAACTCCATAAAACAACACGGTCAGATCACAACAAGTTTTCCAACAAACGAAATGAAAGAATGGTAGGCGCGAACACGAGCACTATTTTGACACGCAATATTTACATAATAAAGACGTCGTTTAATTCAAGTGGACGTTTTTCAAAACAAAACGATCGGCGTCGCCATGATAACTATTATGACGTCACAAGTATTACAACAACTCGTCCAGGATCCATTTTTAATTCTTTTGCAACGCTCTTTAATCCTAAAAACATATTAAGCTAAAAATACACCGTGAATAAATATCCATTCAAATATGTTTAATCTTCCAGTTCATTTCTCAAGACATGTAAACAACGATACAAATCACAAGTCTGTTCGCCTCCTTAATTGTCTTGTTACACTGTCCAATTGCAAGCGTGGCGCGCACACTGTCCTATTAGTGGTGAAATCGGGCTGGTGATAACCAGTCATGTATATATAATATGTATATATAAACCCGTTTTCAAAAAAGTTACAATTTGAGCACCTATTCTTTTTCCATTAGAAACGTATGGCAGAATTAGTGAAGAAGAATTGAGTTTAAAATGTAAGTACAATGTCTGCTTTGTTTCACCTTCCACAATAGCAAAAAAGGTATTTCTCCTTCAATGTGACAAATGTTAATGTCCAGTCCATCGCCTTTTCAATGAGAAAAGAAAAGGCATATGTATCTAATATGAATTTTTAAATAGCAACGTTTTCAAAAACTTGTGAACATGGTTTTGGGTCGACAATTTACATCTCCACTGCTTGACTTCCTCTTTTAACCCTTTTTCTCCCATGAGTGACCAAGATATAATTTCTCCTTACAATATCAGTAAAATATCAAGCAAACAAGCAATGAGAATAGAGAACAATATCAATTAGGGGATTATTAATTGATCCAGAACCAAAATTCTCTGAACTAACATCACAAGAATTATATGGCAGACAGTAAGGAGAATTACTAATGAGATCTTGGGGGTGAAAGGGTTAACACGTATTTAACTTGCCCAGTTTTTGTAGCCCTTTAGGAATTCTATATTACGACAACATTTGTGCACATGTAAAGCAGAAATGTGATGAAATAGAGAATTCTTTTCCGGACGTTAAAAAGTTAATTGATATATGCTTTATTTTGTGTGTGGAAACATATGCCTTCCAACAGAGTTTGTTTGTTTGAATTCAAATGGACAAAAATGGTGAAAGAATCATTTTGTCTGAATTGTAACCAAAATAGTCCATTTTACAGTTGCCTGCTTTGTTGCCAAGCCTTTGGAAAGGAGTGAGGCTAAGGTTGACCTTGTTATGATACAAACATTGCTGCTTTTCAAATGTAAACTACTTTGTTATCATTCTAACTAGATACTGGTCTCTATCACAATATGGTCACCTTCAGCCCCTTTCCAAATCAAAGGCTTGGCAACTAAGTACACAACTGTAAAATGGCCTATTTTTGTGTATGTCATTGGGTGCTGGTAAGTCGTGTTTAAATATGTGTGTTCTCTGAATTGAAACCAGCACAGGGACTTACGCAGTCCTCCTCGTGGAGAATTGGGGGGAGGGGTCTTGCGCCAAAAATCGATTTGGAATTAAAGAGAGTACCAGCAAGTTAAATTGCTATGAATAACTAACTATTACTTTTCACTAGAGTTTCTATGCATCACAGAAAGCAACGACTCTTTGCAACGCACTTGAATACATGTCGCAAACGTGGATGATAATCCCCTGATCATTACACCCTAGTAATTTTTCACTCTGCTGGCTTCTCTATTTCCAGTGATATTCGGCGATCACTTCCTTATTGATTTTATGTTGGTACACACATGTAGCGTTTGAATTGCCTCGTTCTTGTCGTAAACCAAAACCTGCAGAAAATTTTGGGAGTGTGCAACCTAGTTAAAAGACAAAAAAAAAACAAAAAAAAAAACGCATAGCGTTTAAAAGGTCACTTGCTTTTAAGACACGAATATTCTTATGATTTTTAACCAATGAAATTGTACCCCGACAGAACCATGTCTTTCCCTGCGAAAAATGAGCAATTCATAACTTAAGTTTTGAGGCACCGATATACATTTTCATAATTTTGAAAGAAGAGGATGGTACACTGAGAGAGTAATGTCTTTCTTCGCTCCTATCTATTTAGTTCCACCTCCATTTGACAAAAAACGTATTGCGCGATCCCAAGTGGAAAAATAAGCAATTCATAAATTAATTTTTGAGGCAGATATATTCAAGGAGACTGAGAGAGCTTAACCATTTAGTTGCAGTAAACTTGGGGAGAATGCAACTTAATTAAAAGACAAAAAACGTATTGCGTTTATAACGTTCAGCATGAAAATTTGTTGAGAATTTCTTAGTCTAATTACCATTGAACAAAAAAAACGAGGTTGATGACTTCATGTGGTTTGTGCTATTCTAAGAATATTGTAAGGGGCAGTTTGCATGAAAACGTCAATCCATTCAACAGTGGCCTGGAAGGGGAATCAACTTCCGCGACCTCATGCTATTTGACTGCGACTTTTTTTTCACACGTGACTTCTTCTTGAGTGCCTTAAGATTGCGGGCTCACCCAGCAAAGCGGTCAGCAAATGCAATGCTGGAAGATAATCTGGTAAAACACAATGACAGTCCAATGGAAAGGAAAACAAAGGTCAATATGACTGCGGAAAAGCACAACCACAGAGTAGTCTTTTTTAATGGTCACCTGGCAGTCCAGCAAAAAATACAATAAAAATTCGCAGATTGAGAATAAGGCGCAGGTTTTGAAAAAGTCGCTGATGGAGAGAAGAATTGTGCATGGATAAAAAGAGAAGTAGAAATTGAAAAAAGAGGTCGCAAAAGAAAAAAAAAACAAAGTCGCAGAAGGAAGAATTAATTCGTAGAAGAAAAAAGAGTCTTTTTCCCGCTGATTTGTTTGAACTTGCAAATCGTGGTCAGGAAAGGGAGACTATTGGCTGTTTCAACTATCCGATTACAGGTGTCCGATGACAGCCAACTGTTCAATCACACTGTCCGATTACAACTCTACAAAATAATTCGCGAAAAATAAAGAAGTTACTTCACCAATCACATTTGAGTAAATCGTAATGGTTATGATTAATATGTATATATACACCGGTTTTCAAAAAATTTACAATTTGAGCATCTTTTCTTTTTCCATTAAAAAGGTAGAGGCGGAACTCATAAAGGGAAAAAGACCTTTGCACGTAAGTACAATGACTGCTTTGTTTCACCTTCGCACAGTAGCAAGAACGGAACTTCTTCTTCGATGTGAAATGTTAATGCCTAGTCCATCACCCTTTTGATGAGAAAAGAAAAGGTATACGTATCTAATATGTATTTTTAAAAAGCAACTGTTCCAAAAACTTGTGAACATAGTTTTGGGTTGACAATTTATACCTTCACCGCTTGACTTCCTCTTTAAACCCTTTTTCTCCCATGAGTGACCAAGATAGAATTTCTCCTTACAATATCAATACAATATCAAGCAAACAAGCAGTGAGAGTAGAGAACAATATCAATTAGGGGATTATTAGTTGATCCAGTACCAAATTCTCTGAACTAACATCACAAGAATTATATGGCAGACAGTAAGGAGAATTACTAATGAGATCTTGGGAGTGAAAGGGTTAACACGTATTTAACTTGCCCAGTTTTTGTAGCCCTTTAGAAATTCTATATTACGACAACATTTGCGCACATGGAAAGCAGAAATGTGATAAAATAGAGGATTCTATTTCGGATATTAAAAAGTTAATTAATACATGCTTTATTTTCTCTGTGGAAACAAATACCTTCCAAAAGAGTTTGTTTGTTTGAATTCAAATGGACAAAAATGGTGAAAGAATCATTTTGTCTGAATTGTAACCAAAATAGTCCATTTTACAGTTGCCTGCTTTGTTGCCAAGACTTTAGAGAGGAGTGAGGCTAAGGTTGACCTTGTTATGATAAAAACATTGCTGCTTTTCAAATTTAAACTACTTTGTTATCATTCTAACTAGATACTGGTCTCTATCACAATATTGTCACCTTCAGCCCCTTTCCAAATCAAAGGCTTGGCAACTAAGTACACAACTGTAAAATGGCCTATTGTAACCAGACCGATGTGTCTGTCATTGGGTGCTGGTAAGTCGTGTTTAAATATATGTGTTCTGTGAATTGAAACCAGCACAGGGACTTACGCAGTCCTCCTCATGGAGAATTGGGAGGACGGGACTTGCGCCAAAAATCGGTTTGGAATTAAAGAGAGTACCAGCAAGTTAAATTGCTATGAATAACTAATCATTACTTTTCACTAGAGTTTCTATGCATCACAGAAAGCAACGACTCTTTGCAACGCACTTGAATACATGTCGCAAACGTGGATGATAATCCCCTGGGCCCGGTTGTTCAAAACCGCGATTAAACTAATCACCGATTAGGCCTAATCGGCGATTAAATTTCTTAATCGTGGGTTAGTTAATCGTTGGTTAAAAAACGGTTGTTCAAAGGGAGATTACTCGGTCGATTTACTAATCCGCGATTAAGCATAAAATGAATTATATTAATTAATTATAATTTATTTTGTGCCAGTTTACGTCATAAAATTGCCGGAAATTTATTTTTGTCAATATGGCTTCTCCAGCGAAGAAAGTGCGGAAAGCAAACTTTTCACCCGCTGAAATTTCCGTTTTAACGGAAAAATTTGAAGAAAATATGGACATTCTTCAAAGTAAATTTACCAACAGTATAACAAATGCAAAAAAAACCAAGATTTGGGAAGAAATCTCGGAGGCGGTAAACGCCGTCGGTGTGACAGCAAGATCAACGCAGGAAGTACGAGACAAGTGGAAAAACCTCCAGAGTCACGCAAAAAGAGAATTCAGTTCCTTTAAAAGTGAACAGAAGAAGACAGGTGGTGGCCCTGCTCCCCCGAACCCATCAGAAGCCAGTTTAAAAGTAATAAACATGTTCAGTGACACACCGTCATTTACTGGGTTACAGGGGTTTGAAACAGGTAAGTTTATAAATGGAAACATTATTGTAATACCTCTCAATGTCCATACCTTGCATAAAATGTATACTTCGCTAACAAACACAAAGCAAAGTGAAAATTAACGGACTTTAGACTTTTGTTTCTTTCTTATTTTCTTTTACATGTACTCCCATGTAAACAAAAAAACAAATGGCGCCGAAAAGTCTGCCTCGGCCCACTCTTCTCTTCTCGGCTTCAAATACAATCTGCCACTTGCGTAGAAGCGTAAAGCAATGAGGACTTGTTGGAGAGCGGAGAGAGGATGATTGCGGTTGGTTTTACGACGAAGATTATCTGCCAAAAGGTCGGTAATATACTCTATAGACTCCTTTCCAAAGCGATACCTTGCTCTTAATTCTTCGTCTGTATATCCATCTATCGTGAAACCGATGCTCCTAAACTCTCTTTGCTTCCTTTTTCTTCGCCCATCAACACCAACACAACCATACAACAAGTCAGCCATGTTGTGATTTTTATTTTTTAATCTGCCGATTAAGGATTTAATCCACCTAGCGAGCAGGGTTAGATTTAATCCTTGGTTTGATCGAAGGTTAGGAATAATCGGGCTTTGAACAACAGAAACTAATCGGCGACTTAAATTTAATCGGCGATTAGCCTATTTAATCGTGGATTAGCGCTAATCGCAGTTTTGAACAACCGGGCCCTGATCATTACACCCTAATAATTTTTCACTCTGCTGACTTCTCTATTTCCAGTGATATTCGGTGATCACTTCCTTATTGATTTTATGTTGGTACACTTATGTAGCGTTTGAATTGCCTTGTTCTTGTCGTAAACCAAAACCTGCAGAAAATTTTGGGATTGTACAACCTAGTTAAAAGACAAAAATTAAAAAAAAGAAAAGAAAAAACGCGTAGCGTTTAAAAGGTCACTTGCTTTTAAGACACGAATATTCTTATAATTTTTAAGCAATGAAATGGTACTCCGACAGAACCATGTCTTTCCCTGATAAAAAATGAGCAATTCATAACTTAAGTTTTGAGGCACCGATATACATTTTCATAATTTTGAAAGAAGAGGATGGTACACTGAGAGAGTCATGTCTTTCTTCGCTCCTATCCATTTAGGTCCACCTCCACGTGGCGCGATCCCAAATGGTAAGTAGTATTCAAAGACTGCTTGTTGCAGTAAACTTGGGTAGAATGCAACTTAATTAAAAGACAAAAAACGTATTGCGTTTATAACGTTCAACATGAAAATTTGTTGAGAATTTCTTATTCTAATTACCATTGAACAAAAAAAACAAGGTTGATGACTTTATGTGGTTTGTGCTATTCTAAGAATATTGTAAGGGGCAGTTTGCATAAAAACCTCAATCCACTCAACAGTGGCCTGTAAGGGGAATCATCTTCCGCGACCTCATGCTATTTGACTGCGGCTTTTTTTTCAAACGTGACTTCTTCTTGAGTGCCCTAAGATTGCGGGCTCACCTAACAAAGCGGTCAGCAAATGCAATGCTGGAAGATAATCAGGTAAAACACAATGACAGTCCAATGGAAAGGAAACACAGATCAATATGACTGCGGAAAAGCACAACCACAGAGTAGTCTTTTTCAATGGTCACCTGGCAGTCCACCAAAAAATACAATAAAAATTCGCAGATTGAGAATAAGGCGCCGGTTTTGAAAAAGTCGCTGATGGAGAGAAGAATTGTGCATGGATAAAAAGAGAAGTAGAAATTGAAAAAAGAGGTCGCGAAAGAAAAAAAAAACAAAGTCGCAGAAGGAAGAATTAATTCGTAGAAGAAAAAAGAGTCTTTTTCCCGCTGATTTGTTTGAACTTGCAAATCGTGGTCAGGAAAGGGAGACTATTGGCTGTTTCAACTATCCGATGACAGGTGTCCGATGACAGCCAACTGTTCAATCACACTGTCCGATTACAACTCTTCAAAATAATTCGCGAAAAATAAAGAAGTAACTTCACCAATCACATTTGAGTAAATCGTAATGGTTATGATTAATATGTATATATACACCGGTTTTCAAAAAATTTACAATTTGAGCATCTTTTCTTTTTCCATTAAAAAGGTAGATTCAAAGCTGATAAAGCGACCTTAGCAGGTAAGTACAATGGCTGCTTTGTTTCACCTTCGCACAGTAGCAAGAACGGAACTTCTTCTTCGATGTGAAATGTTAATGCCTAGTCCATCACCCTTTTGATGAGAAAAGAAAAGGTATACGTATCTAATATGTATTTTTAAAAAGCAACTGTTCCAAAAACTTGTGAACATAGTTTTGGGTTGACAATTTATACCTTCACCGCTTGACTTCCTCTTTAAACCCTTTTTCTCCCATGAGTGACCAAGATAGAATTTCTCCTTACAATATCAATAAAATATCAAGCAAACAAGCAGTGAGAATAGAGAACAATATCAATTAGGGGATTATTAGTTGATCCAGTACCAAAATTCTCTGAACTAACATCACATGAATTATATGACAAACAGTAAGGAGAATTACTAATAAGATCTTGGGGGTGAAAGGGTTAACACGTATTTAATTTTCCCAGTTTTTGTAGCCCTTTAGAAATTCTATATTACGACAACATTTGCGCACATGGAAAGAAGAAATGTGATAAAATAGAGGATTCTTTTTCGGATATTAAAAAGTTAATTAATACATGCTTTATTTTCTCTGTGGAAACAAATGCCTTCCAAAAGAGTTTGTTTGTTTGAATTCAAATGGGCAAAAATGGTGAAAGAATCATTTTGTCTGAATTGTAACCAAAATAGTCCATTTTACAGTTGCCTGCTTTGTTGCCAAGCCTTTGGAGAGGAGTGAGGCTAAGGTTGACCTTGTTATGATACAAACATTGCTGCTTTTCAAATGTAAACTACTTTGTTATCATTCTAACTAGATACTAGTCTCTATCACAATATGGTCACCTTCAGCCCCTTTCCAAATCAAAGGCTTGGCAACTAAGTACACAACTGTAAAATGGCCTATTGTAACCAGACCGATGTGTCTGTCATTGGGTGCTGGTAAGTCGTGTTTAAATATATGTGTTCTCTGAATTGAAACCAGCACAGGGACTTACGCAGTCCTCCTCGTGGAGAATTGGGGGGAGGGGTCTTGTGCCAAAAATCGATTTGGAATTAAAGAGAGTACCAGCAAGTTAAATTGCTATGAATAATTAACTATTACTTTTCACTAGAGTTTCTATGCATCACAAAAAGCAAAGACTCTTTGACTTGAATACATGTCGCAAACGTGGATGATAATCCCCTGATCATTACACCCTAGTAAATTTTCACTCTACTGGCTTCTCTTTTTCCAGTGATATTCGGCGATCACTTCCTTATTGATTTTATGTTGGTACACTCATGTAGCGTTTGAATTGCCTCGTTCTTGTCGTAAACCAAAACCTGCAGAAACTTTTGGGAGTGTGCAACCTAGTTAAAAGACAAAAAAAAAAAAAAAAAGAAAAGAAAAAACGCATAGCGTTTAAAAGGTCACTTGCTTTTAAGACACGAATATTCTTATGATTTTTAACCAATGAAATGGTACCCCGACAGAACCATGTCTTTCCCTGCGAAAAATGAGCAATTCATAACTTAAGTTTTGAGGCACCGATATACATTTTCATAATTTTGAAAGAAGAGGATGGTACACTGAGAGAGTAATGTCTTTCTTCGCTCCTATCCATTTAGATCCACCTGTAGGTGCCGTGATCCCAAGAAGTAAGTAGTACTCAAAGACTGCTTCTTGCAGTAAACTTGGGTAGAATGCAACTTAATTAAAAGACAAAAAACGTATTGCGTTTATAACGTTCGACATGAAAATTTGTTGAGAATTTCTTATTCTAATTACCATTGAACAAAAAATACGAGGTTGATGACTTCATGTGGTTTGTGCTATGCTAAGAATATTGTATGGGGCAGTTTGCATGAAAACTTCAATCCATTCAACAGTGGCCTGAAAGGGCAATCAACTTCTGCAACCCCATGCTATTTGACTGCGACTTTTTTTTCATACGTGACTTCTTCTTGAGTGCCTTAAGATTGCGAGCTCACCTAACAAAGCGGTCAACAAATGCAATGCTGGAAGATAATCAGGTAAAACACAATGACAGTCCAATGGAAAGGAAACACAGATCAATATGACTGCGGAAAAGTACAACCACAGAGTAGTCTTTTTTAATGGTCACCTAGCAGTCCAGCAAAAAATACAATAAAAATTCGTAGATTGAGAATAAGGCGCAGGTTTTGAAAAAGTCGCTGATGGAGAGAAGAATTGTGCATGGATAAAAAGGGAAGTAGAAATTGAAAAAAGAGGTCGCGAAAGAAAAAAAAAACAAAGTCGCAGAAGGAAGAATTAATTCGTAGAAGAAAAAAGAGTCTTTTTCCCGCTGATTTGTTTGAACTTGCAAATCGTGGTCAGGAAAGGGAGACTATTGGCTGTTTCAACTATCCGATTACAGGTGTCCGATGACAGCCAACTGTTCAATCACACTGTCCGATTACATCTCTACAAAATAATTCGCGAAAAATAAAGAAGTTACTTCACCAATCACATTTGAGTAAATTGTAATGGTTATGATTAACATGTATATATACACCGGTTTTCTAAAAGGTTACAATTTGAGCATCTTTTCTTTTTCCATTAAAAAGGTGAATCCAGAGCTCGTAAAGTGAAAATGATCTTTGCAGGTAAGTACAATGACTGCTTTGTTTCACCTTCGCACAGTAGCAAGAACGGAACTTCTTCTTCGATGTGAAATGTTAATGCCTAGTCCATCACCCTTTTGATGAGAAAAGAAAAGGTATACGTATCTAATATGTATTTTTAAAAAGCAACTGTTCCAAAAACTTGTGAACATAGTTTTGGGTTGACAATTTATACCTTCACCGCTTGACTTCCTCTTTAAACCCTTTTTCTCCCATGAGTGACCAAGATAGAATTTCTCCTTACAATATCAATAAAATATCAAGCAGACAAGCAGTGAGAATAGAGAACAATATCAATTAGGGGATTATTAGTTGATCCAGTACCAAATTCTCTGAACTAACATCACAAGAATTATATAGCAAACAGTAAGGAGAATTACTAATAAGATCTTGGGTGTGAAAGGGTTAACACGTATTTAACTTGCCCAGTTTTTGTAGCCCTTTAAGAATTCTATATTACGACAACATTTGCGCACATGGAAAGCAGAAATGTGATAAAATAGAGGATTCTTTTCCGGATATTAAAAAGTTAATTAATACATGCTTTATTTTCTCTGTGGAAACAAATGCCTTCCAACAGAGTTTGTTTGTTTGAATTTAAATGGACAAAAATGGTGAAAGAATCATCTTGTCTGAGTTGTAACTAGAATAGTCCATTTTACAGTTTCCTGCTTGTTTGCCAAGCCTTTGGAAAGGAGTGAGGCTAAGGATAACCTTGTTATGATACAAACATTGCTGCTTTTCAAATGTAAACTACTTTGTTATCATTCTAACTAGATACTGGTCTCTATCACAATATTGTCACCTTCAGCCCCTTTCTAAATCAAAGGCTTGGCAACTAAGTACACAACTGTAAAGTGGCCTATTGTAACCAGACCGATGTGTCTGTCATTGGGTGCTGGTAAGTCGAGTTTAAATATATGTGTTCTCTGAATTGAAACCAGCACAGGGACTTACGCAGTCCTCCTCATGGAGAAGTGGGGGGAGGGGACTTTCGCCAAAAGTCTCTTTGGAATTAAAGAGAGTACCAGGAAGTTAAATTGCTATGAATAACTAACTATTACTTTTCACTAGAGTTTCTATGCATCACAGAAAGCAACGACTCTTTGCAACGCACTTGAATTACATGTCGCAAACGTGGATGATAATCCCCTGATCATTACACCCTAGTAATTTTTCACTCTGCTGGCTTCTCTATTTCCAGTGATATTCGGCGATCGCTTCCTTATTGATTTTATGTTGGTACACTCATGTAGCGTTTGAATTGCCTCGTTCTTGTCGTAAACCAAAACCTGCAGAAAATTTTGGGAGTGTGCAACCTAGTTAAAAGACAAAAAAAAAAAAAAAGAAAAGAAAAAACGCATAGCGTTTAAAAGGTCACTTGCTTTTAAGACACGAATATTCTTATGATTTTTAACCAATGAAATGGTACCCCGACAGAACCATGTCTTTCCCTTCGAAAAATGAGCAATTCATAACTTAAGTTTTGAGGCACCGATATACATTTTCATAATTTTGAAAGAAGAGGATTGTACACTGAGAGAGTAATGTCTTTCTTCGCTCCTATCCATTTAGGTCCACCTCCTTGTGGCGCGAACCCAAATGGTAAGTAGTATTCAAAGACTGCTTGTTGATAATCTGGAAAAACACAATGACAGTCCAGTGGAAAAGAAAACAAAGATCAAGATGGCTGCAAAAAAAGCACAACCATTGAGTATTCTTTTTTAAATGGCCACCCAGCAGTCCACTGCAAAATACAATAAAAATTGGCAGATTGATAATAAAGCGCGGGTTTTGAAAAAGTCGCTGATGGAGAGAAGAATTGCGTATGGATAAAAAGAGAAATAAAATTAGAAAAAGGGGTCGCGAGAGAAAAAAAAAAAAAGAAGTCGCGGAAGAAAGAAATAATTCGTAGAAGAAAAAGTCTTTTTCCCGCCGATTTCTTTGAACCTGCACATCTTGGCCGGGAAAGGGAGGCTATTTATTATCTAACTAAGAAAGGAATTAGGCTCGGTGGAAGCGAGAGAGGGAGAGCTTCTCTCTACTACATTATTTCTTGTTACACCCCATCAGTAGGCTAATTATTTTTTAGTTCCTGGAATTCGGAAGAGAACGTTTGGTAAATACCAATTGACCACTTTGGGCTCGTGTATTTGGATTGGACCTCCTCGCTGTCCACTGTAATTCCGAAAAAAAAAACATTAACAATGGAACCGGTAATAACTTCAGGACTGTCTTATATATTCTTTTCCTCTTAGATTTGCTTGGTTTCAAGGAAGAAGAAGGTTACGAGGCCAATCGTGTCAACGTCGTTGAATCGGATCCAGAATGGAGATCAGGTGGAACAACATTACAAGGCCAAAGCACACAACGGTTTATCACGGCTGAACCAATCAGAGTGGATCCTTCAAAGAAGATTGAGTTGGTTCTCAGGCTTGTGGCAAGGTAACACTTAAGTATGCGTTTTGAGGGCAAGTGAACTGTTTCCAAGTATTTGATACATTAATAGTTTTAACTTAGATCTGCTACGGTCCGGAAGATAGTTTTTTAAGCTTTACTTAAATTAATAATCAGTCATGGTTAACTTTTCGCGGACACTTTGCATGTTTAACGACCGTATGGACAAAAATCACCTCGCTAGGGATCAAATTTACGCCTTTTTCATCCAAAACAATCGATGGAAAGCAACCTTATTTTTATTTTTTTTCTGTTTTGGGTATCACATTGTGCAACCTGTTCTCCAACAAGCTTCTTTTGAATCATAAGGATCGCTAATTGTAAAGAGCCTTTTCTCACTCTTCCTTTGCGGGCCAACAAGCCTCTCAACTAAGGCTAAACACCAAAATTTATTGAACCAGCTTGGCTAGTATTTTCATGTTGGGTATCGTGAAGGGGTCCACAGATACAAGATGAGCTTCCGATGTCGTTTTGTTGTGTTATCTAAAGCAATTTTTTTTTTTTGGGTTCTTCTTTGTTTTCAGAGAGGGAGAAGAAGGTCTCAAATTCCCTGAAGGCAAGTGCACTCCGTTGTCAACTCTGATTCCGCCAGCTGTCCAAGAGTAGAGCATAGACTGGGTCGGTGTCTATGCAATGATTGACTGTTAGATAGCTTTAGATAGAGTAACCTACAGAGTGACTACTGGATTCACTTTGACGAAATTATGTCTAAACTGGATAGTTGTGAAAATAAACCACATCGCGCTGATTTTGTACGACCACCTGGTTAAGGACCGTTGAAAATAAGTTGCATGACTTAAGCTAGTCGTGGTCAAAAACAAACAAACAAACAGTGGAAAAGTTTGAAGCATGTTTCTGCTATTTTTTCTCTCTGACTCTCTGGTGTGGTTATTTTATTTTGTTATCTGAAAATAGTCAAATCAGAGGAACGTGGAAGGATTTCATCAGTGTGCCTTTCGCTTTACATGAATGTTCATCTAGTAATTTTCCTAGAAATGTGATCGAAGAAATGACTCGAAAAACTGATGTAAAAATAGCTCTCTTATGGGCACATTGGCAAAATAGTCCTTATAATGAACGAGCCAGTTAGAATACTATATAAGCGCCCTATAGCTATGGATCACAGCGAAGAGGCACGCCGCGCGCTTAACTTCCAATGTATCATCAGTGATGTGAGGTTTGTGTTTTTCGAGAACAGCATAGAGTAAATTGAAACTGAGAAATTTTGTTCGTTATGTATTATACAGTAACTCTGTTATAAACTGTAACAGTTGGGAAGCACTTTGTTGCTTTATTACATCATTCCTAAATCGGTGGAATGAAGGTAATCTTGGATAATTTTGTTTTAAATCGATTTACATGATGTACTCGTTGTACAACCTGTAGTACAGCTATGTCAACCACATGGATACTGCGAAGATAGTTAATTAATTAATTAATTAATTAATTAATTAATTAATCAATTAATAAAACAAAGGAGAACGAAAAAGAAAAATGAAAGATGGTGTACTAAATTAAAGGAATTAAAGAAAGGTGAGGTAGGTTATGAAGTCGGGTTGCTAAATTTAATGGGGTAAAGATAAACTCTAAAACCTTTTGTACAACTTAGTCTAAATATGTAGGTTAACTATGTCTTGAATGTATTAAATATACTTTTAATGGGTTAGTATTAGTTGTTGAAACATTTTCGTTCCTAGTTTGTAAATTAAGAGAAACTGGTTTGAAAAGGGGTGATAGTGTGGACCAAAAACGTTTTTTTAATTAACGTAATAATTTTTGTTCTTTTGGCCACTAGTGTCCAAAATCACAAATCGGCCACTAGTATCCAGAATTATAAATCGGCTTTCAGAGTCCAAAATTGCAAATCGGCTTCTGGAGTCAAAAATAACAAATCGGCCACAAAGGTTCAAAATCACATATCAGCCACTAATGTCCAAAATCTCAAATCAGCCCCAAGTGTCCCAATTTGCCAATCGGCCACAAGGGTCCGAATCACAAATCGGCCACTAGTGTCTAAAATCACAAATCGGCCACTAATGTCCCGCCGGCTGGAGTCCAAAATCACAAATCGGCCACTTTTAGGGTCTTCTAGGGTCTAAAATCACAAATCGGCCACTATAGGGACCAAAAATCAGAAATCGCCCACAAGGGTCTAAGTTGGATAATAGGCCACTAAAGTCCAAAATCACAAATGGGCCACTTGTGTCCTGAATCAAAAATCGGCAGCTAGAGTCCAAAATCACAAATCGGCCACTAGTGTCAAAAATCCCAAATCAGCCCTAAGTGTCCCAATTTGCAAATCGGCCACAAGGGTCCAAATCACAAATCGGCCACTAGTGTTCAAAATCACAAATCGGCAATTTTAGGGTCTAAAATCACAAATCGGCCACTAGTGTCAAAAATCCCAAATCGGAAATTTTAGGGTCTAAAATCACAAACCAGCCACTTTTAGGGTCTTCTAGGGTTTAAATCACAAATCGGCCACTATAGTGACCAAAATCAGAAATCGCCCACAAGGGTCTAAGTTGAATAATAGGCCACTAGAGTCCAAAATCACAAATGGGCCACTTGTGTCCTGAATCACAAATCGGCAACTACAGTCCAAAATCACAAATCAGCCACTTGTGTCAAAACTTACAAATCAGCCATTAAGGTCCAATAAATGAAATATCAGCCACCAGTGTCCAAAATCACTAAACGGCGTCAAGGGTCCAGAATAATTAACAAATCGGCCCCAAGTGTCCCAAATTGCAAACCGGCCCCTGGTGGCCAAAATCACAAATCGGCCACTTTCAGGGTCCAAATCGGCCACTATGACCAAAATCAAAAATCGGCTACTGGTGTCCAAAATCACAAATCGGCCACGAGGGTCCAAATTGAAAAATCGGCCATTAGTGTTCAAAATCACAAATCGGCCACTAGTGTCCGAAATTACACATGGCCACTAGGGTCCAAATTGAAAAATCGTTCACTAGGGTCCAAAATCACAAATCGGCCACTAGGGTCTACATTGAAAAATCGGCCACTAGGGCACAAAATCACAATTCTGCCACCAGGGTCCAAAATAAAAAAACGGCGTCAAGGGTCCAAAATCACAAACCGGCCGTTTGTGTTCAAAATCACAAATGGGCCACTAGGGTCCAAAATCATAAATCGGCCACAAGTGTCCAAAGTCACAAATTAGCCAATAGTGTCCCAAATAAAAAATCGGCATTTAGCGTCTAAAATCACAAATAGGCCACTAAAAGTCGATTAGTACACGTTGTGAATGAGATCCCTTAGCCCTTTTCTCCTTTGATTGTTAACTGAAGAAGAAGCATGTTTGCCGTTCTTTGCGACAGTAAACAAAAGGTTGAAGTCTCATTCAGTTCTACGATTTCTTAAATTTAGGCTTTGGTAATAGACTGAGTACAAAACGAGCGTGGGTTCGTAATGACTGGCAACCGATTTTAATGAATTATGATTTTTTTATCGCTTTTTAATATTCCGCGTTTGCACAAAAAGTGCGCCATGGTTTTCTGGATTTCGAAAGATAATGGGTTGAGCATTTTTAGCAAAGAAGTAGTCTAATAAGGTGTAAAGTGAAGTGTATTTATATCCCTTGGAACAGAAACACGACAGAGGTCAGGTTATCGTTATTTCTTCGAGTTATAGCTTTGATTGTGCCCTTCCCGGGTGTGAGTCAACTTTCATATTTCGAATTGCCAAGGAAATACCCGGGTTTTTTAAATTGCATTTATTACGTGGTGTCGAGGTAACACGCCTTGGAGGCGAGATTGATTACACCTTGGTGGTGAGTCTTTCTGGTGGCGAGGTGACTGAGTACCTACTGCTGTGATGGACTGCTTCTGTTTTGTGCCACTAAATCGCTTATGAGAGTTTCTACTTCCATTAAGCTTAAGGTTTCACAGTATAGCTACTATCGTAGTATACGTGTTAGTAAAATGGAAACCTTGGCATGTTCTTAAATAGATATGCCTTGGAAGGACACGACCTCGTAATAATGAAAGCCGTTTCGTTCTTGGATACTGGCCATCTCACTTTTGGACCCGCTTACTTCACATTCCTTTTGCTGGTTGTTAAAATTAATCGACTGGCACTGATTGGTTTCCAAGCACAACTTGATACATTGTATGACATCAGTGACACTCTGTGATGAAATCACATGACCTGGCAGTGCTTTACCCGGACCAAACCGTGGCTCAAACAACGCTCCCGAGACTAGATGGAAAATAGAAGAAAAATAGAGAGTTTTAATTTTAGGCTTTCACCTTTCATTGATATGGAGAGTCCACACTAGACAGGTTGTGTTACTGAGTATAAAATCAACTACATCACGATCAAAATGAGTCTTTCAAGTTAGAGGAGGATTAAGTAGAAAAACTTTATCCCGGAATCCTCTCAAATTAACCGATGGATTCTATGTTCCGTCTGTCTGTTCCAGTTGTAGATCTCAATTGACGTCAAACGTGGCAAGAAATCAATCAGGCGCGCGAATCGCTTGAGAGTTTGTTATCTAAAACCGAACAGACATGGTGAAATAGTCTACTCGAGTTTAGTGCACTGAACAGGAAGATACAATTTGAAAAATCACAAAACTGTTTTGCCTCACAGTGTTCGAGCTGTGATTTTGTTCCTGTAACAATGTTCTTGTGTCAATGGAAAAACGCCTTTTGTTTTTCTTGCTCGCAAACACCTGTTACGTTCTTTTACAATTCGTAACTGGAGTTAAATTTTTTGAAATCTTGTCATCACTTCCAAGACTGTTTGTCATGTTGAACCAGACAAAGCACATAGGTTATGAACTACTGTAGCCATTCATTTGTACGCACATATATAGCACAGGAAGCAACCAATCGTAGCGGCCAAAGTAAAAAATGAGTTCATTGCATGAATACATTTGGAATATTCCTGACTTTGGAATTTCCAGGAAGATGTAAAAATATACAATCCTTCCACACAAGGTTTTGTTCAATCGCAGTGCTCAGACAGGTCCTTTTATGGTCCATGAGAACATCAAGCAAATGTGCACGGTTCATGTAATATTACTCTTGGGAGACCAGATGGCCAAAGGCTTCTTTTTACTCAAGTGTAATCGGAGGGATTGGGTCTCCTAACTCAGTTAACTCTCAGTGGCACTGCCGAGGGAGACTTTCACATGTCACGAGAATGGTCGAACAAATATAACTTTACGAAAGATAATTGTAATAAGAAAAAAAGACACACACGTACACGTGATATTATGGAGCGTCATTGAAATTTATAAATAAGATATAAAGATATACCTTCTGGCCAAGGTTCTCCGTAAACCTCCATTCTTGTGCATGTCCAATGATACCACTTTAACGGTATAAGGAGGAAATATCGAGCGTAAATAACCGGAATAATGTTCTTCTTTACTTCATGTGCGTTGCTATTTCCTTCTAGAACCTGAAAATTTAATGCAAAAGTAGTACTTATAAAAAGCAGTACTGGAAATAAACGTTGCTAGTCTCAAGGCTGTTGTCACCTCTGCGACTCAAAGAAAAGAAAATGTTTTCAATTAGAACTGTCCAACCAAAGGGCTGTCTTACGAATGTCTTGTTTCTCACTTGTCCTTATCACCTAATTTATTTTTGTTTGCCACTTGTTTGTATTCAAAAAAGAGACTTAATTGGTTTGCAATTCAATCCATAGATCAACATGGCAAAGAAAAGAGGTAACGGATTTTTGAGAAAAGACCGGCACTACTCTTTCTTAGTTAGGGATTTAAAAGTATGGTTAAGACTCGTTACGTTACCGGCACTTACGAGAAACTTGCCCCAATTCAGTCAATTCCTGGTTTGTATGCATTATCCGCATGAAACTTACTTATCTGATAAGAAACTCTTCTTCCTTCTAATGTTTGCATAGAGGTTGGTCGGAAAGAGAGCGCTTGAAGTAGTATAGTTAGTTGAATACCATGATAATCATATATACAGTCGAGTTGGCAGTTTTTTTGCGATATTTCTTGTTTCCATTGTAATTCTCTTTTACCTCTGGACTTTCCCTCCAGCTAACACCATCGTCAGACCATCTCAGTTTGTATTCTTTCAAGTAATCATAGTTTCCAGCATTATTTCCTTGAGTGGCAACTGCACAAATACGGTAAGGTCGGCCAAAATCTACCTACAATTATCAAATCCTCATGAAGTATCAGATTGAGCAATGTATTGTCAATAGTAATGTGGGGTTGCATTAATTTTCCTTTGCTTCAGTCCAAGCCA